TGAGCTTAAAAAGAGCCAGGAGAATACAAATCAACACAAACACATACAGGCCAAGACAATGATTAGTTGTTTTTCACTGCAATATTAAAAGTATTTAAAGCCAACACTATATCCTTTCCGGTGTGTGTGTTTACCTGAGCAACAGGTATGGATAAGTCCCAGAAAGGATCGAACACTGTGGATCTGAAGCCACAGAAGCTGCAGGTCACAGAGCTCTTCAGCTGACCCACAAACAGATCTGAAGAAATAAGAGACATGGAGGATTAAAGTTAGCGCTTCTATTGGATAGCGCTCCAACACATTGTACGTGATAGGCTAAGGGGCGGGACATCTAGCCTATCAGAGCAGACTGGGCTCTGGTTTCAGGCAGAGGGTGAAAAACACAGAGAAACTCTTACCCACTACTTTGCTGTCCTCTCTCTCCAAATACATGTTCCACATCCGCTTCCCTTTCTCATCGTCTCTGTGAGTGAAACCAAAGTATTAATGAAAAAACTGAAAAGGTTTGCTTATAAAGTGGTGCAGGAATGAATCATAAAACCTGGAAATAAGTCAGCATTTTAGCACTCATTGTCACTTCATCTGGAAGTTTATTTTAAAATGTGTTTTTGGTTGTTAGCCTGAAATAAGATGTATGGTTAACTCAAGATGAAGAGATTTGAATGTTTTGTTCTACAAGATAAAATACGTCAGTAAATACCCCACTGGTGAATTTAAAAACAGCAGTTGCTAACAGGTGTCTGAATGAGACCACTAAACGGTGTCACGCCCAACATTAGCCTCCGTTAGCTTAGCGGTAGTGACGTGAAGTCGTGTGACCGTGCTGTAGTTCCTTTATAGCCCAACATTAGCCTCCTTTAGCTTAGCGGTGGTGACGTGAAGTCGTGTGACCGTGCTGTAGTTCCTTTATAGCCCAACATTAGCCTCCTTTAGCTTAGCGGTGGTGACGTGAAGTCATGTGACCGTGCTGTAGTTCCTTTATAGCCTAATGTTAGCTCATAAAGTGGTGTTAATGACATGTGAGGTGGAGGGTTGACTTACGAGAGATGGTCAAAGTCCTCGTCGGACACATTAGAGCGAACCGTCACACGGTTCACTTCGTTATGGAGGCCGTCCAATAAGAAGCGCAGAAACTCCTGGGCGTCCTGCTGACTGCGAGGAGGGAAAATGTTACTTTCTTTTCTCTGAAATCAACAATAATGAATGGATGATAAAGTATTTGAAGCAGCAGGAGGGAAGACTTACTTGCAGCCCACAAATTTGGGAGCGTATCTCTGGATCTGGCTCCTGAAGTCCGAGGGACTGACGGCCTCGCTGCTCACTGACGTCCACAAAGTCTGAGTCAGCTTTGCAAACTCTGAGGCAAAAGCATAGAAAAAGATGACGGAAAATTCAAGATTAAAAAGGTTGAAAGGTTTTATTTTCATATGAACAATAGCTATAGCGTTAGCGATGGAAATCTTGACACAGCCACAGTGCAACATGCAATTAAAAGACAATTTAACTGTAAGAAAATTACACCCTGGTGCAAGTAAAAGGCAGAAATAAGTAAACTATGCACATGTTGAATAGAGTAAAATCAATAGAAGGTCAAACTGTGACTGCAACTGTTCGTGTTTGTGCAGAAACTGATAATTGGAGTATTATCTGATGTGATTCCAGTGATTTTTCATCGTGAAGGTGATCAAGGTAAAGGGTTGTTAGAGCCTTCGTCCGTGCATCAGAGCAATATGAAGCTTAAGACGTCATAATTGAGTATAAAGTTCATAAATGAGAATGACTGCTGAGCCATAAAGTGACTCAACGCTAACACGTGTACAGAGTTTCCCTTTATGCTGACGATATGCTGTTTCTTTCTCCTACCTTCCATCAAAGCAGCATTTGTGGTGCAGTTGTTGTTCAGGTCCGAGCGATGGACGTTTCTCAGGCAGTAATCTCTCAGCTCTGAAGTGTTACTCAGACATTGGAGGATGGAGTTCATGAAACACTGGAAATCAAACAAAAAAATGTAAAAAAAACAGATATAACGAGATAAAAAAAAACAAGATTTAGCAGGTACCGTGTTGTATAATAAGAAGCACTCACGGTGTTTCCCAGGTTCCTCAGTCCCACCAGGCCTTGTGGATTCTTGTTCTGTTTCAGAACATAAAGAAATGTTTAGGGTATTCATGCATTCATTAGAGAATTGAACAGATAACAAAATAAGGTAGAAAGACAAAGCAGGATTTCAAGTGACTATTTTTCCTTTTTTTGGGAGAAAAGTGCAAAAACATTTAGCAAACATCATATTGATTGAAAACATTATCACTGTGGCCAAAATGGGAATTAATCATAAAAACCCCTTATTGGCTTCACATCATCTGCAAATGAAGGTCACTAATAAAGCCAACATGAGCTACATGTTTGTATGTTGCCATGGGGAACATTAAAATGAAATGTCTTCCCTCAATTGGGCCACTTTTGGATCCACTGACATAAATAAATCATAACTGGGTCATAAATATAAAAGGTAATCATTGTAGCAGTAATGGGAGTGGGTTTTACATGGGTTACCGTATCCCAAATATAAACCATAAACTAGACTGAGTGTGCAGACCTTCAAGAAGAATAGATAGAGAGAGAGATAGATAGAGAGAGAGAGAGATACCTGTAGATAGATAGAGAAAGAGAGCGATAGAGAGAGAGATACCTGGAGATAGATAGAGAGAGATAGAGAGAGATAGGTGGATAGAGAGATAGATAGATAGATAGAGAGAGAGAGAGATACCTGTAGATAGATAGAGAGATAGAGAGAGAGAGAGAGAGAGAGAGAGAGAGAGAGAGAGATAGATAGATAGATAGATAGAGAGAGAGAGAGAGACTGTAGAGAGATAGATAGATAGATAGATAGAGAGAGAGAGAGATACCTGTTAGATAGATAGATAGATAGATAGAGAGAGATATACCTGTAGATATAGAGAGAGAGAGAGAGAGATAGAGATACTTGTAGATAGATAGAGAAAGAGAGCGATAGAGAGAGAGATACCTGGAGATAGATAGAGAGAGAGAGAGAGAGAGAGAGAGAGAGAGAGAGAGATAGAGAGAGAGAGAGAGATAGCTGTAGATAGATAGATAGATAGATAGATAGAGAGAGAGAGAGATACCTGTAGATAGATAGAGAAAGAGAGCGAGAGAGAGAG